TACTTTTGAGATTGGCATGTATATTTCAGTTCTCTTTGCAACTGTGAAAAGGTTGACAGTAACAATGTGAACTATAAGTTGTAATGCCTCTATTTCATTGATAGTGTGCTATGAATATGTATTGCACCTTATACCAGCACTTTATAAATATAATCTATTTTTATTTCCATAAAAACTCACAAGAGGGGAAAAAATCCAGGGGCATGGGAACATGTACATCCTGCTCCCATTTGCGTATCATCAAGTTAGATCACTGGCCAGCATAAAATAGAGGTCCAATAACTATTCATTACATGAATACATTAAGGTCTTAACATATGAATGAATTTTCATAGCAAACCAGAAAGTTTTGTATTACTCATTTTACAATTGAGGAAATGGCAATTTATAGAGCTTTAGTAAGCTACTAAAGGCCACACAGTTAATAATTGCCAGTGTTTGAATACAAACCCAGGACAGTATGTTTACATTGTACATATCAAGCAATGATACTGGATGTCTCTGTGCTTTTGTTTGGTGGTGATAAAGAGAGTAATAAAGGAGTGATAAAGGAGATAAGTGAGATGATTCAGTTGCTCTGGAAATGACTCATCTTTCTCTTCACTTTTTTTTTACTTAGACTTACCTGTGATATAAATTCCAACTTAGCATTTTGTAATATATCAATAATCATATATCTAGCTAACTACACGGTAATAAAAATTTCGTGTTTCTGTGGTATTTTTCTTTGGTGTGTTTTGTTTTGTTGTTCCCCAGTAATGTAATCCATGAAAGGAGAAATCCAATGATTCTGATATGTGTGTGTGTGTTTCTTGTTCACCAAACTTTATAATTTTCTGTGCTCTGGTAAAATGAAGATAATAACAAGATAAAAACTTTAAGCCATTTAAGAACAAAATCATGAAGAGATTTCAAGTGTTTGACATCACTGTTTGGAAGCCCTTCTGTTTGTTAAAAGCAAAGTCTTAAGATAATTGCTAATAGCCGCAATTACATGTGTTGATTAGATATTTACCAATCCCTACCACACTTCATTTACAGTTTGACACTCAGAAGCTGC